CACGCACGATCTCCGCAGAGGGTTGCGCGCGGACCGCACCAATCGCACTCTCGCCTGCATTTCGCGCACTCGACATGCACGATCTCCGCGGAGGGTTGCATTTTCGGTTGACGCTGTTCGTCCCACCCTCCGCCTTTAAAAGAGAGAATTTACAAGGTGGGGAAATGTTTTTCATTAGGACATCTCCCGTGCAAGTTTTCCATACTCATACTTGCATACTTGTGCATACTTGCGCTGGGATTGCACTGGGATACTTGCATACGTGCACTTGGATACTTACACTTGCATACTTACCCTTGGATGCTTTTGTTCAAGTGCAAGTGTGGAAGTGTCAGTGTGTAAGTGTAAGTGTCGAAGTGTCAGTGTTCAAAGAATTTTCCGGAAGAACCCTTCGCAATGCTTTCGGGAAAAAGAGCGAGTTATACATTTGCGCAGTCAATATATAAAGTGAATGAATAAATAGGTTGCCAGGATACGTTCGGTCCCTCAGCATAATATCCAGCAGATTCTCCCAAGAAGATCGGTTGCGCTGAAGACAAATCATGTTCGATTGCCACACAGGCTCCATTTCCACCACCTTCCAGTCCTGTGGTTCGTGCAAAAATTACCACTTTGCTTCCGCATCGCGTTTCAGAGTGTAGTGTTCAACTTCATCATCAGAAGAATGGCCACATCAACACACCCCAGTCAGCATGACCCAAAGAAAACTGTGGCGATGACACAGTGTCCTTCAACGGAAACACCAGGCCCCAAAGTTCCAGCTTGCTTCCCAGCTTGCTTCCCTGGCGCTCCCATGCATGTGTTTCATTTTCTGTTACAGTGACTCCGAAGTAAACTTCGAGGACGACTTCGAAGTTTGCATGAAGTCGAACAGCATCAGCCAGAAGTTTGCCTTCGAAAACAATCTATCTAATAGTTCGAATTTTGTTTATCAATCTATCTAGTAGATAGAACTTTTGGCCTGAGATTGTCTATTTTGACAGTTTTCCAAAAATAAGAAACCTATCTGTTTCTAGGAAATCGTTAATTCGAAAATAGAACGATTTTTAAGCTTCTAAATTAACTACCATAGTTAAAACAGAAAATAGTTAATATACAAAACCCTAACCAATAGTTAGAATGGTGTCTAAACAAGGATTTTGTCGATGAAGGTCTATTGGGTATTCTCCCTCTCCGACTTGGACTGGAGGTGTCCTGTTGCACTAAAGTGGCCAACTCGTTGGTTTGCCGTTGGATAGCCTTGGCGATGAATGTCATTTCTGACCCCAGTTCCCGCTTTCCTGTCCGGGTCATAGATGCCCGGCGGTGGCAATACGGCCAGCGTCCTTGCCTTGCTCACCGGAGTGGATGGAAGTGGACTCAACTTTGAAGATATAAGCCCAGGCGGCGGCCTTCGCAAAGAAGGCGAGTTCGATGTAGCGTCAACCACGCTCGAGTCAGATATAGCGCCACCTTCCCTGGGCCGCGACCTCTGATCTCCATGGATCGCTCTCTGGCAGGTCGTCCAGCACTTGGCATGCAAGTCACTCAGGCGGCGCGTGAAATTTAGAAAGACCTGGGCTCTTTAAGCTTAAACCTCACTGCAGCTCCGCTACCATACAAAGACAAACAATTGGAACGCTTGCCGATTTGTGTGTCTCTGACCGGCCCCTGCCCACCAAGTACGCGACGCTTTTTCCCATCTGGAGCCGGCGTGGAACGAGGCTCGAACTTGCGACACGCTCGGTCTTGTGCGCGACTCAAAGAAGCTAAAAAAACATGGCCCCATGACCCCATGACCACAGCGTTTACCGAATCCATCGAAAGCGTTTGACGTGTAGAGAGGGCATCCATGGTGTTGAAACTTCACACCACCACCGCCATTGCGCGCCTCTTCCTACGTGCGTTTACCTAAAAACATTTCGAACTCGCCCAACTCATTGCCCCACATACAATTTTCTTGGTTGCCTCTTTTGCCATGTCTCCGGTTGAGTCAGGTGGCTAAACAGGGGTGGACCGAACCATTTGCTTGCAAAATAAACCAGATCTGAAGGGCCGCCACATGTACACATCTGTGTAATCTCAGCGCCCCTCATCTGCTTCCTTTGCTAGGTTTCACTGCGCTAGCGGCTTGGGTCACGGATAGCGAGAAAGTCAAACAAGTCGAAAAAGGTTGTCTGGCTGGTTAAAGATGATACCCAAGAGCTCAAAAACCTGAAAGAGCTAGGACATCTCCAACCCTTTGTGGCCAAGTGTGGGGCAAGGGTGTTTCACAGGTGTGTCTGTGTGATTGGATTGCGTGACGGCAAGGTGCTTGGATCGAATCAATCGACCCCACGAACTCACAAAGCAATGCGTGGCCGAGGATTTTTGGCAGGGGTGTGCGTTGTTGCGGCGGCGGTTCTTTGTTGCGGTAGCTGTCGTTTTTGTCACGCTTGTCATTGCCTCGTGGTGGCTAAATGTCGCAGCCCTTGTCGACAGGAAGGGTGGGTGTGCTGTAGTTGTGGCTAAAACGGACGTGGCCTAGCAAAAATGATGGGCGCCCAGCATCTGACTAGTATACGCAGGGTCCTTTGTCTATAGGGTACTCCTAAGTCCTTGATATATTTACAAAAAGGTACCCAGCATTCATAGCTACCTCAGACTTTGACAAAAACTGCCAGTTGGGTGGCCAAAATGGTGCCTGTCCTGGCCCTGGCCAAAAAGTTTAGGGCGGAGGATCTCCTTCTTCACTTGTTAAGGCCACGAAGTGTATAGAACTCTAGACTTGGGTTCTTTCAGACCTTATCTTGGCAAACGCTTGCAGCTTATCTGATACTGTCAGGCGGTCGTTTAATTTGGCGAAAACCTATTGGGTAGAAGCTCACCAAATTGTTTGGTACATAGGGGATGGTGTCAAACCACATCAAGTTGGGACTCAGAAGCTCTTGTAGAAGTGGGGAATCGTGACATAGTTCACCGCTGAGTTGGCCACAGCGATTGCCAAGGGCATGGAAAGAAAGGTTGCCTTGTCCATCACTGCGCGGGCACCCCAACCATCGCCTGCCGTGATGAACAAAATGCACTTCCACGGTGAGCTTCTACAAGCCTTGGCAGTGAACAATTGCGATGAACCGTCATCGCTGCTAGATGATGTTGGCAGATACAAGCACCGGGCCATAACAATTGTGTCATAACATCTGTCCACAACATGCTTCTACTTGTATCCAATCTCAGCTTTCTATTCTGAAAATTACTATATTGTGGTCGGGCGCCTCTAACTTTTGCAACATTGACGCCGATTCAAAGTTGCTGAGGGACCGCGGCTCTCCAAAAGAAACCATCTGCGCAAAATACTTTGTAGCCTGGGTGGGATTTCAGGTACAAAAAAATGCGACTCGCGTTGCTTCAAGAGTATGCGCGCGCAGAAACCCTTTGGCCCAAAGGAGGCCCGACAAGAGGGTTGGACATGTTACTCTTGGCGCCTAGTTGCTATTGTTGACAATGGTCACTCCGCCGTCATCCCCAGTTTTGCTCCAGTAGACGAACGTGCTGGCGTTGTGAGTGAAGTGGCCAACCAGGTGACATGGAAGCACCATTGAAGTGTCCACATCTGAGACGTTGCCAAAATACACCCAAGGTTTGAACCACTGCGGGTGGTAGCTCTTGTAGTATTCGAGGGCTAAGCCTGTTTCGTTCTCAGCCTCTACTAAAATAGCTTTGGGAACGTACACGCCATCTGAGCCAGTGTATCCCATGCCACCCGCTTCGATTGGAATTTCCCCGTGGAATTCTTCTGCCAGCGCATAGTATCCTGCGTAGTACTGCCACCAACCTCACAAGAACGTTGCGCTTCGCGAGAATATGAAATAACGGTAAAACAACCACCGTGCGACGCACGTCGGGTGTCTCAGACTGTGTGACACTCTTGCAGGACACTGTAGAGTCAATCTTGTGTAGCGCGTAGCGCAGGCCACTCTTGCGCGGCCCTTTGGTTGTGGGGCGCTCTTGGGGTGTGGCACTCCTGCGCGACGCTCCCCTATAGCAACTTTTCACAGCTTTTGCGCGCGTTGACCTCGCGAACAGCTGCACCTGCGCAGCGTCATGCCTGCCGACCCGCATGGACTTAGAAAGCCACCCCCTTGCTACCAGTATTTCACACAAATCGAACACTTCCTCCACACAGCAAAGAGCTCTTGCAAAAGCTTCCCAATGGGAAGCCATAGCTTGCGTCGCAAACAGTTGCGGTCTTGACAGCAAGCCTTTTGCGCGTGACTGGTGCCAGAAGTCAAACAAGTTAAAGGAGCACCTTTTGCCGCGCATTCGAGAACATGACCAGAGCAGCCGTGAAGAGACCGTGGCATCGTGACTCATACGGTCCAGAGCGCAACAGAATCAAGTCATCACCTGTTTTTGCCTACAATTCCAGACGTGCGCAAGGAGCACTAGACTGACTTGATGGTCTTAAATACTGTCTGGGAGCACACAGCCTGTTCGCGCCCAGGGTGCGGGGGAGGTTGACAGAGCACCTCTTCCCACACCAGCGCTGCGCCATGGTGGATTATGGAGAATTGTTGTTTGCCTGGTTTTGCGTCTTTCGGGAATCCTGTGGAGTGGGCGCTTCATCATGTTCCTTCAACTTTGGTTTCTTCTCTCAAGCAAATTTTGGAGAAGATTGCGCGGCATGGCCTTCCTGATACTTTCGAAAATATTGCCCTCCTGCCGTGTGAAAAAGGATTCTTCCATGCAATGGATTGTTTGTGTCAAGAGCTACGGGTCCATGAAATCCGGAAAGTTTTTGTTGAATGAACTAATATGCTTACCAGCTGCACATAGAGCAAAAAAAATCACAAGTTTCACAAAGAGCACAACTTTACAAAAAAACAACTTTCACAACGCTATCAATGTCAAATCATCAGCATGAAGATGGATGGTCTGAGTGGATTCATGATAAGGCTTCCATCAAGTTTGCCAAAACTCCACAGTTTGGCACTGGTGACAAGAGGGTGTCCTTTTTGCGGCGACTCGAACAAAATGGGTCCGGTGGGAAGGACACCACCCGGCGCATGCGCAATTGTGTTCGGGAGTGTACCACTATATGCTCCAACAACAGGTGTCCACCGCGCAAAGGAATTTAGCTGAATGGAACCTCTTGCAACCTCGTTGGCTGATTCACGCTGATATGTTGCGATGCGATGCTCCAGTCCAGTGTCTTTGAGGCCGACTTTGGGGGTATATTCGTGACAAGAGTTTTCTCTTCAACCGTGACCCTGCGTGAAATCAGCTTCCTCTTTGACATGCTTCAACTGGCAGCGCCTGAGATTCTGTGGGCTTCCCCAGGAAGTTGGTCAGCTCGCGAGTGGAAGCACACCATTCCGGTTGAGCTTGCGAACCTCCGTGATGTTTACTTTCACTTTGTGGCGCCCATGTTGACGATTCGAACTTGGATTCTCGTTGAGATTCGGTTTATCAGGGCGAATTGCGAGTTCTATATCAGGGACCTGGTTTTGATCATCGCGCAACGTGCTGCCATACAAGCCGTTCTGGGAAGAACGGATCTGTAAATCCATCCTGAGAGCATTCGTCGAATCCCTGACTTTGTTGATACTCGTTTTGATGCGTGGAGGTTTTGCAATCATTCTTCTCTCGAATGGGTATGCCGCCGTTTTATGCGACGCAGGAAGAGAGGCATGTCTTGCCAAGGCAGCTGCAAGCAGATCAGTTGTTGAATGCGCTGGACTGCGCTCTGGATCAATGGAACCAGTCACATCTTTCTTAACGACATCAGCAGTTCGCTGTTGCGGCCAGAGCTGCCTTTCTGAATCATGCGCTGACCATTCCTAGTCGGGCAAGTGATATCGCTTTACGCGAGTTCAAGAGGATTGACATTCGTTGTCTCCGTTCAATGGCTCAATCGCCGAGAAGGGTTGCGCGCGCACTGTTCTGGGTGGGCTACTGACGCGATTACCTTCTTGCTTCAAACCCTGATGCTCTGTCCGCCGATTTTGATCAGAGGTATGCATGACCGAAACTTTCCGGTTGCATTGCCTGCGTGCGATCAGCAACAAATTTTTGTGGCTTTCAAGGATCAACGTTCTCGGGATTAAATCTGTGATCGAGCAGGCAAGAATGTGTCGGGCGACCTTTCTTCAGGCCGCGCCTGATGACCATGCTTTTTGGCACTCGATCGTGCCCATTGGCTACCAACCTGTGATCATCATTGACACTACCCCCAGTGTGCGTCTGATGTGTGAATGGGCTTTGTTATATCGGTGGATTGAGCAACTAAGTGACGACCCAAGTGATGTTTGTGCGCCGGCGTGCGCCGGCTGACAAACGATCGACCACGTGAGCCCAGCTGTTTTTATTTTGTGAGGCACGCCGTCGGGCGCAGATTGCCAACGGCGAGGTATCGCTACCCGGCGTGAGGTCCATGTACTGCGCTTGGGTGAGGGGACTTGCCTCCACCTGTCCCAATGCGCCAAGACTTGCGCTCCTCCCACGACTACTCTCATATCCATCGGGGAGAGACAAACTGTTGAACAACCTCCCATGTTGTAGACAAATTTTCAAGTTATCTGACCAGTGCCAATTCTACGGGAGGTGAAAAGGCTCTTCTTATCCTTGCTCTTCTTTCCTTCAAGAGGGTATATTAAATATATCGTGCGTTGGGGTATTCTTTACTTTCATGAACACATTGTCCACAAATAGTTTGTATTCATGCTTGTGTGTATGTACGCACACACGGACACGCGCGCCGGCGCTCATGTCATATGGCTGGATGTCGTTCAAGGGAAGCACGACCAAAACTAAGGAGACTAAGGTGACTGAGGAGCCGAGTCGAAACCAAGGAGCCGAAGCTAATGGCCAGCTTCCACGTGCATCGAAGGATTGTAGCATTAGGTGGGGGTCTGGTTTCCGAGCCACGAATCTGAATGCCTCTCATCAGACTAAGGACCACCAACGAGCACCATTTGGAAACCTTAGTTTGGCCTGGCCCTGCCCCTGCTAAAGAATAAGACATAAGAATCTAGATTCTAGATGTAAAGATGATGCCGGCGCGCCTTTTTTCCTCTGTGTTAGATTCGAGGTGTTGCACTGGGGCGGGGGCGTCCGCCTAATTGGTTGCTGCTTGCAGTACTTTCATGCCTCTCGAAATACTCGAAGTGCATTTCAACCGCGCAGGCTCACAAAATCTGGTGGGCTGCGGCGGGCGCTTCTCGCGACTGCGCTCTCGTTGTGGCGCAGTGCGCATTTTCAGTCATGGTGGTCACTCTTCGTGGCAGGCGCAAGGGAAAGCTCGTGTTCTGGTGGCCCAAAGTCGACTGCGCAAGGGATCGGAACGGTTTTGCTTCAAAATGCAGATTTCATGGCAGGCGCAGCGCTTTGAATCTTCGACGCGCTCTGATTTCGTGACAGGTGAAGTGAATGGTGACCGGTCTACATGTGGTGGGTTTTCAGAAACCGTGGCAGGTGCAGTGCAGATTTCGTGGCAGGCCCAGCATTTTGAGCATTTTGTCAACCTGGAAGCGCAAAGTTCGTGGCAGGCACAGCACTTTGTGAACCTCCAAGTGCAGATTTCGTGGCAGGTGCAGCACTTTGTGAGCCTCGAAGCAGATCTCGTGGCAGGTGCAGTACTTTGCGGACCTTGAAGTGCAGATTTCGAAGCAGGCGCAGCTCTTTTGTGAACCTCGAAGTGCAAATTTCGTGGCAGGCGCAGCACTTTGTAAACCTCGAAGTGCAGATTTCGTGGCAGGTGCAGCGCTTTGTGAACCTCGAAGTGCAGATTTCGTGACAGGCACAGCGCTTTGTGAGCCTCGAAGTGCAGATTTCGTGACAGGCGCAGCACGTTGTGCTCTCAGATGACTCTCACTCTCAATCTCTCACTCACTCACTCACTCACTCTCTCTCTCTCTCACTCACGCTCTCACCCACCTCGGCCCCCCCCACCCGGAATCAACATGAATCAACCAACCAACCAACCGGTTGAACTGACAAATCAATTGCGAAGGCCGGGGATCCAACACTTGCTTTGCAAGACAAACTCAAGGAACCCCCGAGAGCTACCTGTTGGTTTTAATTTTGGTGTGCTTGAGCACTCCCCACCCGAAATTGATGTCCAAACCACTGGAATTCCTGGAAGATTGAACTATATAGGGCCCAAAAACGTCTGAAGGAGAGGGCGCTGGCAACAGATTGACAACTTTTCTGTCCTGCTTTATGTCCTTACCTCGTCTTAAAACCTCTTTGAGCAAGCGGAGCTAAAACATTCCGCAAGCCTACCATTGCTGTAATTATTGATGGGGCGGTCTGCCTCTCCGCCGCCTTTGCGCTTTTTTTTCCCTTTGAACACATCCCCCCAATCACACTCAATGAGTGGAATAGACTCTGACGTATTTTTTGGTAGCGTAGAACTGTCTTTGTGCTGTAAGACCATTTTATATATTCCTCATCTTTTCCGGGCTTTTCCCTTAAGGACGGGGTGCCTCAACAATCTTCGCTGGCATCGCCAAATCATCGGCAACGAGATATTTGGAACTCAGGGGCTACCCGGTTACCCCTGATTATATAACTGTCTAGGGTTGGGCCCGACCCATCTAACTTCTGGATGGTGCGACAACACATGTGTTGATTTTCTTGTCACAACTTTAGCTTGGCAGCTCTCAGACATCATATGCAACTTTGCGTTGCGGTCTGTGCAGCCTCGGTCCACTGCATTCATGAATGTTGTGCAACCTATAAGAGCATAAATGCCGTCCAGAGTTGATGCAGGGCTGCGCGGATCAACATAGATGTTGTAGCCAAGCACTTCTTCAATCAGGATTTCGAAAACCGCGCTGGTCACATGGGCAGAGCTCCAGTCTGCAAGCACAACCCCTACAGGATAGGACTCCCCAGCCTTGGAGAGGTTCTTCCGAAACTCCGGATTCAAACCGCTGGGCAAGCACAGGCTGCTCGCCACTGTGCTTGCCACTAGGTCTTTCCCAGAGATCCAGTTTGAGAGAAGACACCACAATAGCACACGACGAAGACACTTCACGCTGCACATATTGGTGAAACTTTGGGTAAATAGCCAATACTTTCCAACTTCTCCAGTCAACATTTTGCGAAGCGCAAAAGCAGCCACAAATGTTGCACTGTTGCGAAGTAGTGGGACTAACTTGGAATGAAGATTCTGTACTACTTGCGCCTACTTGCACTCCCAAAGCTGACTTCTTGAGCTTAAATTGACTTAAATGCAATCCTCCTTTTCATAACGTTAATGACGTTAAACGCTGATGGCTAAAGCTTGGGATACTTACCTAATGGATGTCTGAAGTGAGATGTCAAGCTACTTGCCATGCTTTGAAACCCCGAGTTTCAGGTCAAAAAACATATGCTTGTGGCCCTCAATTGTACGATCAGATGCTGAAACCGCGGAGCCCCAGCATAGTCTTCACACCAAAACGGCCATCTCCAGCAATCAATTCAATCCAACAAGACTTGATAATTAGTCGCGCACCCTTTTGAAAGAGTCACGCGCAAGAGCACTGGCCAGTTTCAGCCATTGCGCAGCCATTGCAGGCCTCAGCTGTTTGTAGGCCTGCCCCTGCATTTCCCTGGGCCGGCAAGGTGCTCTCAACTGTGTGTCACAGAGAATCTGCATCCAATGGTGTTTGAAGGGCTGCGTGACATTGGTTTTGACTGCGCGTCTGGTGAGATAAAGCGCATACACTTGAGAAAAGGGCCCCAATGGGACAAACATTGGTTGCACGCGAAAGCAGGGCCTGCTGTGACAAGGGCAATGACACTGAACGATCGGGCGGTGTGAAGCCAGGTTTTAGGCTTGCGCAAGGTTGGCACTGGGCTCGCTATTTTTGTCTCCGAGCTTAAGCTAGGCCGTTCTTTCGCCAAGTATGCAAACCAGTGTACAAAAGACATGAAAGTGAACCATGTGCGGAAATGTGGACAAACTCATTGTTTTCCCGGCTTGCATCGCCTTTCCCTGGCCAGGGCAGCTAAGCTCAGAGTTACCAAAACAGTTGACAAGTCAGGCCACGGCAACTGAACCATGTCCATGCAGCGCGCCTCAAAATCACAAATCGCATTACACCACATCACCAACATTGCGCTTCACCAATCCAACCACCTAACAGTCACGACAACATTACCACATCACCTTGCCACATCATACATGGACAGCAAAACAACATACATACCTCACACCACCGCATCACACTTCACAGCATTCTTTCAAACTTTTGTCTACCCTTTCGTCTACCTGCCCAGCCGGAAACTCCAGCCCCCAACACTAAGCTTAGGCGCTTTGATCTGAAAACCCAAAAGGCAGCTTTTGTAAGATTGATAAAATAAACATGTTTCGATCAAAAAACGATGGGTGTCCTGAAACGTCGAACACATCCAAAGGAGGCAGGGACTGACCTTTGTATAAACGAAAGAATTCAGAGCAAGGGAGGACAACTGAGGGTAAGTTTTGCGTGAAAGCCATCCTTGATCAGCAAAAATTACATACATGCTCCTTTTAAAGGACCACTCACATACACCAATTCTATCTTTTTCAACGCCTCTCTCTCTCTCTATATATAATTGTTGAAACATCTTTCAGATCTGTGTATTCTTTTGACCATGGTGGAGGTGTGGAGGCTTTGGCCAGAAGGTCCGGGATCAAATCATGCAGAATGAGGTGAGTGAATCTGAAGGGGGGATCAACCTTTTCATGAGGAGTGATATCGAAACTTAGATTAAATCTATTATGGCCCGGTCCAACTCTACAAAGGGAGCTGGCCAAGTAAGTTTGGCTAAGCGGCTATGCCAACAAGAGAGCTGGTATCACCAGCAACCCCAACTTACGTGAGGTGGCTCAATGAAGTGCAAAGCAAGTTCAAATTTTCAGCCTTGCTGCGCTCTGGACCACCTCTGTCAGGCATCCCAAATGTCCTAAACGATGGTGCTGACAAATGACAACCGCGCAAACCAAAGTTAATGAGGCTTGTCACGCAGCAAGCTCCTCGTAAACGAGTCTTCGCTTGTCATTGCTTGCGCCATCCTGAGGACTCGTCGAATCGGAGCAAAACAGCTGGAAAGCTGGAAGCGCCATGGTGTTAACAGTTTAGCTCCATTGGTTCCTCTTCCTTTTCGGAGCAAAACTTCTCACCTGTGGACAAGGCGAGCAATGCGCCCGGTACTCAAGCAAAGGCAAGCCATAGCATGCCCTGAAGCAAACTCTAGCGCCTTCGTATCTTTGCTCTGGCTCTGCTTTCTTTGCTGTCCTAAGAATCTACAGAAGCTGCTTTGAACGTTGCCGAAAGACACCCAACCGAAAAGGATTTAGATTTAACGGGCGCTTCGTTGCTTGAGATGCCTAAAACTAATTATGTACGTAGGTCCGAATGTCCTTCTGAGATTGGGCTTCTCTGAAGCCAAATTCAACACATTGCCACATCGTTGAGACTTGCATTGAGGCATATCCAAAAGCTGGTGACTCATGATCCTCGAGGTCCTTTCATCTCCAGATTCAGACCGCAAGCACCGTTCAGCGTGAACCTTGGCATCATCCTTGATTTCCTCTGCATGTTCCTGCAACATTGACATTGAGCCATCAATCATCAACAAGTCCTTCCCGGGCTGGCACTCTTTCGGCCTGCTTCCATTTTTCAACCTGCGCTACTAAGAGCCTCTGTCAGTGTAGTTCATTACAGGAAACATATTCGACATTCATTGGCTTTGAACCGCCTGCTGTTGCATTCGTCTTTCTTGAGAGATGACCGGATCGCTAGCATTGGTGTATTTATCCTGGCCGGACAGTGCCAAAAACAAGTTCCAAGTTCAAAGTATCGGGAAAATAAGTGTTCTGACAGTGAAACACACGTTTCTATTTGTCAGGCGCTTTTGAATGGACATAGAAGTCAGAGATGTGTCGGATAAAATTTAAAGGCAAGTCCAGGGATCGTCTTCAGCGCTGGTGGAAGTCGCAAGAACGACGCCGAATGAAACCACAGTAATCCTGAGGGCCTTGCCGTAGTGCTTCGACTGCAAATGATCTTATTGTTGCAGCATACATTCTTCATAGGCGCTTGTGCGTGAAAATGGTCCTATGTTGCTCCATCCGACCGTTCTTCATCTGACGTTTGCTTCGCAACATTTCAATTGTTGACCTCCGTGGATTCACGTTTGTTTCAATCTGAATATTTTGTGCTCACTATTGGAGCCTTGAGGGCCACTTCGTGGAAAACCACTTTTCGTGGGTCTGAACTTACGAAAACGGACAGGCGCGCCCATTGTATATTGATAGGAAAAACAACTGAATTCGTGTAAAACACCCTCAATCTTTCCCTCTACCACTTTCGACATTATCGTTTTTCTTCCTTATCGCTTTACAGCACTTTGACTGACTGCAACAAGTGTAGCGTAATGTAGTATACATGTGCCTGCGCTGCATGCATGTGGTGTGTGGAACCTTGCAAACATCAAAACATTAGACACAGTTCATCCCAGCTACACCCATGTGGCCTGCCTACGGAAGGGTGTTTTAGGTTCACTGTGCTATCGTTTTTGTTATCGTTGTCATGCCTGGTGCAAATTGGAAAACCCCTGTGGTGGCCTGCCAAGTTGGAACAGTAGGTCGTGTGTGCACGCATTTTCTTCACACCACTTCTGGCACGTCCAAGCTTTTCCACAAGAGTCATCGAGCGTTATCGTTTTTTCTTCCTTATCATTTTACAGGGGATTGAACAGTTCTGGCCCAAGCCTACCAGGGGTTGAACTGTTTCCCGCAGATTGGGCATGGCGTCTCTTGGAGTTCCGAAGCCAGTTGTTGGCTTGCCACTGGCGACAGTTCTGCAAAGGGTCGACGATGACCCTACGCATTTCATGTCGCCGTTGCTCGGTTGCAGTGCACACTGCATGGGGATGCCGGGCGATGGTAAGCTTTTCGCTGGATACCATCTAGATGTGCTCTCCGAGTTGCCACTTGTCCTCTCGGCAAAAGGAGATTCAGTTTTTCCACTTCACCACCCGGGTGATCGGAGTGGAAATGCTGTAGTAGACCTCTTTGCAGGGTCTGGGGCGATGGGAGTGGCCTTAGAAGCTCTTGGCTACAAAGTGATGGTTTCGGTAGATTCTTGCTATTTGTGCTGTGATCACTTGGCAAAAAATGGAAGGGGGTATGTCTTTCAAGGTGATGTTTGCTGCCCTACCACCTTCAAGGGTCCATGAGATTTTGTGCAACGCAAACATCAGAGACTTTGTCATGATTGGCGGCTTCCCATGCCAGCCAGTCTCCTCCCAAGGGAGGATGATGGAAGAAGAGGACCCTAGGTTCAACGCCTTCCTTGGACTGATGAATGCCACTCGACTGTTGCAGCCTCGAGCTTTGATGGTCGAGTGCGTACCTAATGCTGGAAGGAACGCGCTGATCCAAAGCCACTTGGCCTCCTTATGCAACGACATGCATTGGGGTCTCCGTCAATTGACTTTTGACTTGAAGGACCAATGGCCAATGTCGCGAAACAGATGGTATTGCATCGTGTCTGATGAAAGTTTTCTTCCTCCCACACTCCCTCGATGGAACATTATGACAGAAGGCAACACCGTGGGGGACATTTTGGGCTGCTTCCTCCCTTCCGACTTCCCAGGGATTGAGCAACTGTTTGTCACTTCACGGGAACTTTCATTTTACCAGGAGCCTGCATTTGGTGCAGACAATAGGAAGCTGGAATTGCATCATGTTTGCAATACAATTCTGCGCTCGTATGGTTCCCCGCTGGACAAATGCCCTTGCGGCTGCAGAGGGATGGGATTTGCTGAGGCCACACTTGTTGCTAAGGGGCTCAGGGGCTTCTATGTAAGCTCGCCCTCATGGCAGCCCCACTGCAGGTGATTTGGGTTTTCAGCAACTTCCTCCACGCAGCCTCAAGTTCAGCAAGTGATGTGGTCCCACTGCACCCACAGCTGATTCTTGAGGAATATAAAGCACAGATCCGTATGGTACTTTGCCAAAGTCCACACAGGAGGCAAAAGTTTCTCTGGGCGTCAGCTACGTACTGGTCCCTCAGTCATTTGCGAAGCATCTCCAGACACTTCCTTGGCCTCCATGGTCAAAGCAGAACGATTTCATCAAGAATGGGGGACTTCCATTCAACTCACAGTTGAACAGCAGCCGTTCCCTCCAGACATGTCTTTGCAAGCTTTCGCAGGAACAGCTGTCCAGATGCAGCACATCGACAAGAAGCGAAAGACACAGCACCCAGAAGGACTCCTTGTCCTGCAGATTAAGCAAGCACCAGCACAGCACATTGCAATCAAGCCGAAAGGGTCCTTCCTCTTTGAATTCTTAGATGACACACCAGTGTGCAGGCCAGCCATTGTGACGGACGCAACAGGCACTCCAGTTCCTCTTGACACCAGACTTTGGTTCCCACAAACACTCTCAGCAGTCGACCAGGGAACTGTACACCATGTTTCCCACCGAGGATTGGGGCCGAGCACAAGCACTACATTGTGCCCCTATTCCATGGGGAAGGAAAGACAGAATATGGCACTGGAGGCCTCACAGAGTATCGAACGACTCTGTAAGTCTTCTTCCGCAGAGGCTATCCCAACTTCATCTTCGCGTGACTCCTATGCGGTTTCACCCTCAGTGATTTCTCCTGACAGTACGATGGTCTTGCCCCATCAGGCAAATAGGTTACCAGTTCCTTCCCCATCTGGTTCAGAGCCTTCCTTTTGGTGGGTGATGTTCTCCTTCTACAGGCGCGCTAATCGCCAGGTTGAATGAATCCAATCGTCAGTCTCGTGGTCTGGAGAATCTGTATCCCATCTGGGCGCTTCCGTTCCCTGGGCCTGAAACAAACATGTCAGTCGTCGCGCCCCTTAATCCGTCGGGTCTCTGACCCAACGTTGCAAACCTCTGCGCAGAGTACCAGCTGCTTGAGCTCGATCTTGTTCTGGGTGTCTGGCCCTGTCACTCCCCCATTGCGAAGCTGCGCGCTGGACGCCCGGTTTCCATAGAGATGCGCAGAGTGCGCAGCCAAATTCCATCATGCGTCCAGTGAAGACTCGGCTCCGGAAAGCGGTTTCGCTGGAGTTCCTTTCTGGGCATGGAGGTTCCACAGGCCCACCAGCTTCTTGACATAATTTATGTAATTGTCATTGACCCCCGCCCGCCTGAAGGAACAAGCGTCTTCACATATTCCATAGCCCTTGCAGCTTGTGCTGCGCGGGGTGTTCTTGCTTCCTGAGGCTGCCCAGCAGCTTCTCCACATCTGGTTGGCTTCCAGCCAACAGCAGGTCGTCAACATGTAGACGCACTGTTCGACCCAACTTAGTAGAAGAAGAGTGCAGGATTCGGAGGGTAGGCCTTGGGAACCAAGCTCAAAGTACTCGCCGTTGCGCTTGTGACCTTTCACCCGCCCACTTTCCAACTTCTTCTTGGCTCGGCTGCGCCAGCTGCCCAGCGGAGCAAATTTTCTATGTCTGAAAAGAGAAACCTTCTAACCTCTTCGAACTATTCTGATCAACTTCTTGATCTCCTCGCTCAGCCAAATTTGCAAGTCTCCTCCTTCACAAGCCATCCCAGTTGGGCGTTAGGAACCTCATCTGCCTCCAAGCCCACTTGCGGCGCTCATCAACTTCTGTATCCCAGTCCACCGTCTGACGGTCAAGTTGAACTCTTCCTGTAGCCCAGTCTGCCCCGCATCCTTAATACCAGACCGTCCGGAGGTTCAGTTGGACTGGAGTGTATGGCGTAGTGCGTGGCGTATTCTCCGGCATGCAAAGGAGAGAAGTTGCGGTTGAGCGTCGTCCTCTGGGGGTCTTCAGCAAGTTTTATCGTTGAGGCGCTCCTCGTCAATGCCAGCCAGAACGCCAATTAGCTTGTGTTCGGGATGCTCCTCCACCAAAGCGCTCCATGCGCCATGACTGTCGCTCATAGAGTCCCTGGCGCCGTGCCTTTACTGCATTTGTTGAGCGCGCTAGCTGTGCGCACAGTCTATCGCGCAAAAAGCACACGCCTTTTGCATTGCGCTGGAGTTTGTCTTGGCGCTTGCTGCTTCCTTTGCCCTTGCCTTTCATGGTGGGAGTACTGTAGCCTTTGCTCTTGCTGCCGTCGCCCTTCCCTGTAATAAGCCTTTCTTTCCCTTTCCGACTGCAGGTGGCATACTTCGTCGAAGCATCGCGTTTAGCCGCAATGAGATTGATATTTTCTCACACCTGATGCCTCACGACTCCTGTCCCCAACCTTGGGCTCTTTGGAGCAAGGAACCGAAAGTTCACTCGAGCCTTGGTGGCCTCAGTTAAAGGATCTGTTTATCTCGACATGCTGATGTACACATGGAGGTACGCATGGCATGTGATCTTGAATGTAAAGACTTACAATTTCAGTAGATACCCTTTCCACATGTAGGTACCTTTGTACGGTGGATACCCACGCTTGTTCCATGTGTTTTTGGGAAACTAGCAGCACACTTCGTAGACGCAGGAGCAGGAGCATTCATTCATCAATTCTGTTTCTGCTTCTCTCAAAACATTTGCAGTCCTTCGTAAAGCTGGGGTGGGTTGCGCTTGCGTCAACGCTCATGATGTGTGTAACCCGTGGAGTCACAGGGATCTGTTTGGATTTTAGAGCATGGGGGCAACGGCCAGTCTTCTTACGTTGCCCAACGAAGCTACAGAAGACTGGTGGAAGCATTCAGGGGCGCCTGAATGTGTACCTGCATCAATTTTAAGATTTCTTGTGTACTGCATACCTGCGCGCTACGTCGTCATTTGTCGCCTCGGGATCGGCTTGAGCTTTTGGCCCCACTTCCAAATTTGAGGACCCCCAGGTTTCTTTGGTTTCACTTGATCTGGTCAGGATTTGGGTACCCAGGTTGGCGTGTGGCCTTTCAAGTCAGTACGCGCACAGGGTGACCCCGAGGAGTGGCCCCTGTGGACTCGTCGAACGGGGTTTGTCGTTGTTTCCCTTGCTTTGGAAACTCACGTGCCCACAGCGGGCGGAGTAAGCTTGCGCCAAAGTTATTTGCCAATACTTGATGGATTCTTGAATTCTAAGCTGGCCGCCCTCGGGCACGCCGTTAGGTGACCAAACCGGTCTCAAGTCGCTTGCCATTTTGGCATGGCACAAGGAAGCATTTGGAGGTTCGCTGGAACTTGTCGGGGCCTTAACTCCCTACCCTCCCCCTCTTCCTTCTTTTCTTTTTGAGGTGTTCCTGAATGTAACACTCAGGTACACCCCTCTCACTGGTGCGTCCCTGCACGCTTGCTCGTAGCTGGGAACACCTGTCCACTTCTCTTTTCCCTCCCTCTCTCTCTCTCTTTGTCTCTTTCCTTTCTTTCCCCTCCTTCTTGTTTGGGTGCCCCTGGGTACTTTCGTCATAGCTGGGAACCCTTCTCTTTTTCTCTTGGTGTGTCCTTGGACGCTTGTGTCGTAGCTGGGAACTCCTTCATTTGCTTTTGTTCCTTTTCCTTCTTTTCTTCTCTGGTTTCATCGGTTTCTGTCCCCTTCATTTGGTACCCCCTTTTTCAGCCTGTTTTCCCCTTCACACAACTTGTTCTCCTCTTTTCTTTCATGTCTCCCTGTCTTCATGTCTTGTCACCTCATCCTTTCATTCGTTTGCGCACACTTCGGTCCTGGCCTTAGTGTGTACATGCACTTGTACTTTAAGCCCAGGTTTCAGGTCGCCCAGGTTTGACAATTAGGTGGGGTTCATCGGTTGTCCCTGTGCACTTGGTTCCCTTTCATCGCAGCCACGCACACTTTTGTCCTGTCTTTGCCTCTCTTCATGTCTTCATCTTTTTGTCTTTGCTGCGCGCACACGTGCACATTCGTCCTAACCTTAGGTTTTCTCGCCTCCCCTCGGGGAGGCGTGTGTGTGTAGCCCTTGGAGTCACAGGGATCTGTTTGGATTTTAGAGCACGGGGGCAACGGCCAGTCTTCTTACGTTGCCCAACGAAGCTACAGAAGACTGGTGGAAGCATTCAGGGGCGCCTGAATGTGTACCTGCATCAATTTTAAGATTTCTTGTGTACTGCATACCTGCGCGCTACGTCGTCATTTGTCGCCTCGGGATCGGCTTGAGCTTTTGGCCCCACTTCCAAATTTGAGGACCCCCAGGCTTCTTTGGTTTCACTTGATCTGGTCAGGATTTGGGTACCCAAGTTGGCGTGTGGCCTTTCAAGTCAGTATGCATTTCTATAAGTGTCTGTGAGCCTACATTCGTTCCTGATTCAAACACTCAACAAACCTAACGCGCAACTTGCTGCAAAGTTGAAGCTTGGTGGATCAGCGGTGCCAGCCTCATCTCTCATGGAGTCCCTTTCGCGCTTTTCGCGTCTCACATTGTCTATCATGTCCTGCAAATTAAGATGGGGCAGTAAACATGAGATGACATGAGGCATTTTGCTTCAACCAACTTCTCCCCCATGCTTTTGCAACCAACTTCTTCTTCTTCTGCTATTTGTCACCCACATTCACCTCTCAACATCCTACTCTGACCCCTCCCCTGTGCGCGCCGCTGAGGTACTGGGGCCAACACACTTGATTTGCGCACTGATTGAGCTAAGGCAAAAAGCTAGTCCCTCTGACGCTTGGTCTGTGAACTTGGATGGAAAACTGTCTGGAAACATCTGCAGTTCGTACTAGTCCTGAAAAGCTTTCATGTTGCGCTCATGTTGGGCGTTCTCCTCCTGGGAAGGCAAGATTGGTTTGACTGTTCACGTGTCTGATGCAGCGCGATACCATACCTTGCAAATAGCAGAACAACGAAAAACCTTTGCCTCCTTTATGCGGCGCCTCTCAGCACGCTCTTCTTCTAGTCCTGTTAAGTTCTGCAAGAACAACTTAAGGGCCCTGAACACACCTGTCACAACCAATCCCGCCTCCTCGATTGAACGCTTCAGCTGCTCTTCTGTCCTATGCAACAAGAGAAACCTTCCGGCGCAACTTTGAATGTGTATATATATATATATTGCGTCTGTTCAGGCTCGCCTCTGGGAAAACAGGTCGGTCATCCAAATACCTGCAAATGAAAACTCCAACCACCCCGCATTGATTTGACTTGCAAGTTTTGAACAACTCCTGTCAGCTCCTCAAATTAGCAAAGAACATCTCGACTAGAGATCTCCGAATTGCGAGCAGTTGCAGTTCGGAAGTAGACAAGCAGTCAGAGGGAAAAGCAGTAGACCTGTAAAGCCACCGTCGCAGGAATTGTGCGTTTCATTGTCAGGGCTGAGGAGGGTGTTTGGGAGATATTTTGTGTGGCAGGTTGGTCCAAAGGGAAACGGAATCAGGGAATTCAGAACGCGTTGCCTGAGCTGCAGAAGGGTGACAGCTTCTAGAGGGAAATAGCTGCAAACATAGTTTTGTTGCAAGAAGTCGCCGGGCTAGCAGTGATTTCCAAACACATGTAGCTAAATGTCTTGAAACACAAGTAGGGGTTTCTAGGGAACAGGAGCCACAAGTATGGGGTTCAAAGATTCTAGACAGGTCACCAAACAGTTTTCCGGCTTTTGGGGCAACCAAAAAACTTGAGCAAAAGCTCTGCAATGCATTGTGCGTCCAAGCCGTGGTGCTGGCAGCAGCAAAACAATCGCGCAACGAAAAGGACATTGCCGCAGCACTGAGGACAACATACCCGGACAACCTCTACCAGGCGGCTCAATCCAACGCACTGCAAGTGGAAGCAGGTGATGAGCCCACGGAGGATGACATGGGTCCCGAGGACGACACGTTCGATGATGAAGTGGAAGAACAGGATGCGGTAGATGCCCTCCTCAGATGGAAGCAAACACGTGCAGGAATCAACCAAACCAAGATGGCAAGGGGCTTCGGAGTTGGAAAGGACTTCAAACGCCTTGCAATCAAGTTGGACATTTCAGTCGAAACTGTCCCAAGAAAGGCAAGGGATCATCGAAAGGCCAGTCCAAAGAGTCCGGAGTGCGTCCAAGGTGAGCTTGCCGTTGATGGTATGGCGAAATGTATCGAAATGTGTTGTTTGAGCGTGAAATGATCATGAGCGACACCGGCTACACACGTATGTCCATCGCAATGAGACAGGAGAGATGGTGATGACCTACAACTCCCCTCCAAACCGAGAGCGACCACTAACTGGCATGTGCAGGGAGCCCAGGTGATTCCGGAACATGTGCTCCCGGGACGGCAGCTTTTCACCCCAGCTTCCAGATGCCGGGTTCCATTGAGAGACCTGTGTGAGGCACGTATTACTGTACCAGGCCAACCAGATCCAATGGGAATACAACCGTGATGTTTGCTCCCAATTCAAAACACCGAGGTGAAGCGCACAAGAAGTTGGACTATGAATGGCCAGACAATCTTCTACCTGAGAGAGGCGGAGGTTGAACCTTTGGACGAAGAGATTGCTGCGCTAAGACGAGTTGGGAAAGGCTCAGGAAGAAATCCTGGCGGTGACGCCAGATGGGTTTTGGGAGGAGGAAGAGACAGAGACGACAGTAGCCTTGGTTCATGAAGCAGGGCGAGGACTAGTCGATTCCCGCTGTGGCCAGGGACTGGTCGGGGAGGTGACCTTGCGGCGACACGAGGCTTTGGCCAAGTTTGACCTGACCATCAAGGATCTTCCTCATCGCCCTCATTCCTTCCGATACGGGAACGGAACAGCAGATACCTCCATTCGCACAGTCCAAATGCCTATCTTTCTGGCAAGCATCAAAGTGTGGCTGCGACTTCATGCGGTGAAGGAGTCAGCACCTTTATATATACTGATAAGCGCTTCTTGAGGCCCTTGGAGCAGTCATTCATCTCCAAAAGAGTGAGCTGTTGCTGGCGAAGGCTAATATGTGGCTGTACCGCGATCAACCTGTTGGACCTGCAACAGCCCGCGATCAGGACGTGGAGGTGGTGAACTTCCTCGGGTGAAAAGAGCGACGAGGAAGATGGAAGAAGAGTATACAATCGATCCTGGTCGCATTGGGTCGGAGGAGAGACCACTTGGGGAGACGGAGATCGATGAGGGCACCATCAACAATCCGGATGAGGTCATGGCAACAGTGCCGGAAGAGGAGAATGAGAAGTATGAAGAAGAGATGGAAGAGGATGCCCTATAACCGAGGGCAAATGATGAGATTGGAAAGAACGATATGAAAAAGAAACCGAGGAAGCAGCTTCGATCAAGGATGACGACCAGGACAATTGTACGGGCAGTCAGCCGGCAGAAGAGCATTGGCAGAGTGCTCTGGCTTGGAAGAAGGCTCATGAACGGAAGGCGCTGCAGAAAATCATGTCCGAAGTGCTCCAAACGCAGGGGCCATGATGTGTTGAGACCTTCTGCCCAGGACGTTCAATGAAAAGGCACAGAATTTCGGGGTGTGTGGAGCACGAACTTTTGACCTGAGATTGGAGGCACGCTGAAGATCGCAAGGAAGTGTGTCCTCGAGGACCCAAACATTACGGTTATGAGTCCCCCATAAGGTTCTTTGCCAAGGTTGCAGAACTCCACACCACCATGGAGGCGCCAAACCTCGAGCGTTTCAAGAGAGAGGTGATTGAAGCAAAGGCAACGCTGACGTGGTGCATTCGTATTGCCAGAGACTGGATGCGCAAAGGAAGGCTCCCTGTGTTTGAAACGTGATCATCATGTGCCTCCTGCAAAAAACCTTGCCTACAAGAGCTGATGGCACATGATGATTGCTATCGTGTTGATGTGCAAGCGTGCTCAGTGGGCCTCCGAGTAAACCTCCAATGCTCCAGGAGTGGTATCGATGCTGGACCGACTCAAGTGCAGCAGCGATCATCCACATCAGGCCGCGGAAGGCCGATCGGGCGGATAGATGAGGTCCATTCAAACACCAATCTATCTGGGCAGACTGATCAATGTTATCCTGGGCGAGTTCGCATGTAATGAACAGTATGAATCTTTGATGGTCTTTGTGCTATCCTGCTATCCCATCAGTCAGGCCGATGTGCAATTAGAGGAAGGGGAACTGAAGAAAGAATTTGGAACGTCTAAAATGCAATTCAAAAGATGCATGTCAATCTAGGGGTGGATATGTTTTCTGTTATTTATTTTTCCTGGGAATATTGTTCACATGTTTTTTCTGGGAGTGCTTTACAAGCATCAGGAACAGCCGAAGGGTCAGGAGAAAAAGCAGCAAAGCCACCGAGAGGGAGAGAGCGAGACAATGACAAAGGGAGGGACCAGAAAAGGCATCCAACTGGATGAAAGAGAAGTAGCAGTGAGGAAAGAGGAAAGAGGAACTAAGGACTTCTTTGTGGGTGTCTTCGGGTTTCACTGGTTTCGAGTTTCCTTGCGTTCGGTTTCTTGTTTTTAGGGTTTCTTTGGATGTTTTTCCGGCTTCACTTCTATTGAGGGTTCTTCGGCTTTCCATACATTTTTATATGTGTACAATAACAATATATATATATAGCGCGAAAAGAGAGAGAAATACGAAGGAGAAGGAACAGTGAGGAAAGGGGAGAGAGGAACTGTCGGAGGGACTTCTTTGCGGTTGTCTTCTGGTGTCACTTGTTTCGGTTTTCTTTGGGTTTGGTTTCTTGTCTTTAGCCCTTTTTTGGGGTGTCTTCCTCCTCTAAACTTTGCTTTCGGATGGTTCACAACACCTTCACTACATTGGAACGCATCCTCCTTCCTCTAAATGTCACCCTAGAGTGGTTCCTAAAAAGTCTGCTAACTTGGAATCGATGCTGCCTTCTCTAAACTGTATCTTCGGCTGGCTTACCAAATCTATGCTACAGTGGACTGCCTCCTTCCTCGTCTAAATCTAAACCTCGAGTGGTTCAGAAAAAGTCTGCTACCTTGGAATGGCATCTTCTATATTTTACCCGTGCTTGGCTCACAAAATGCCTGAAAGGTTGGAACGGCTCTTTCCTCGTCTAAGTTTTCGCATCGGGTGGCTCACAAAAGGCTCCTCGTTCCTCGAAATTCTGGGTTCGTATGGCCTACAAAAGGTGGAGCGGCAGCTTCCTCCTCAACATTTTACCCTGGGGTGGCTTAGACAAGGTCTGCTACGTTGGAACGGTATCTTCCTGTCTAAATTTTGCCCTCAGGTAGCTCTCAAAAAGGAGAGAGGAACTTTCAAAGGGACTTCTTTGCGGTTGTCTTCGGGTTTCACTTATTTCGGTTTTCTTTGGGTTTGGTTTCTTGTCTTTCGCCTTTTGTTGGGGTGTCTTCCTCAAATTCTACTTTCGGGTGGTTCACAACACCTTTGCTGCATTGGAATGTGTCCTTCCTCCTCTAAATGTCAACCTGGAGTGGCTCGTAAAAGGTCTGCTACCTTGGAATGGCATCATCTAAAATTTACCCTTGCTTGGCTCACAAAATGCCTGAAACGTTGGAACGGCAGTTTCTTCCTCTAAATTTTGCCCTCGGGTGGCTCTCAAAGGGTCGGCTATGTTGCAACCAGCTTCCTCCTCTACATGCTACCCTGGGCTGCTACGTTGGCACCTACCTACCTACCTACCTACCTTCTTCCTTAAAATTTGACTCTTGGGCGGCTCATATAGTGTGAGCTACGTTGGAATGGGGCCATTTGCAGCAGCATAGGGTCTGTACTGCAAACAGCACTGCGTTGGAAGCTGGCCACTTGCAGCAACACACGCTCATTAGAGCCTGGCCACTGCAAGCAGCACAGTTTTGGAAGCTGGCCACTTGCAGCAGCACAGGCTCTTTACGGCAAGCAGCGCAGTATTCAAAGCTGGCGGCCGGAGAGACCTTGAGATGGTGAGAAGTCTTGAGTGCGACCTTGGCTCAGGAACCAGCCTAAAGCAGTCCGGGACAGCACGGTCGATACATTGGTCTCGATGAGAAATGGTGAACAACTGGAAACCTGATATCCCTCAACATTGTCTGTTGAGCATCTGGTTTTCAGCAAATGTACAGTCCCCCATTTCGAGAAATTCAGCACTGCTAGTGCAGCTGTACAGAATGTGGAGAAGCTCGTTCCTATACAGTGGATCGCCTTAAGCTGTACTCGACCTTGATCCAACATAGATTTTGTGGTGTGTAGTTTTGACTTGATTGGATCA